TTGGCAATTTTACCAAATCAACCGACGATAAACGTAAACAAAATGTGGCATTAAATGACACCAAAGATGAGGAAGCAAACAAACAAATAACAAATAAGGCAACGAACCCAAACACAAAAATTCCTTTGATCACAACCAAAACAGATCACCGGTTGTTGTGTTGCTCTTTTCAGTTTGCATATGTGTGCGTATGCGCCCGCAAAACGGCGTCGTGTGTAAAATTCATTTAACTGTGTTTTGTTTATATTATTTGGTATGGTGTGTATCGTGGCATACAGCTGTATACTTCGTTTTTCTTTTATTTTAAATGAGCGAATCGTGAACGCGAATCATCAGTAATTCAATAGCAAAAAAAAACAACAACATCAGCAACAAAATGAAGAACGATGCACTTTTAGTGCATGCAAAAACTGAAATCACGAAATTGTTTACAAGTTACCGAAACGATCGCATTTAAGTGAGTGAATGTGTGTTTGTGGTTGAAATACATTCTGAAAATGTTACTTGTTCATTAGATTGGGTCGATGGTGTTCATGCTCATTGCGACGGAAAGTGGCATGGCAGTGCTTTCAAATGCACATTGCATTTTTATATTTAGAAATTGTTCATCATCATCCACCAGACCCATGCAGAAAATTTAAATTTTAAAATGTCGAGCAAAACAAAAGACGCAAAAACACACAAAAAACAAGTCACTTGTAAAATAACATTTTTCAGCGGTTCGGCTCGTAGATTGTTTTTGTTAATATTTCTTTTGTGTATAAATAAGAAATGAATGCATAGACACACGATTCAACTAACCAGTTCATGTATTTTTTTTTCTCTGATGCGTCTCAGTTTATTGGTCAGTATGCCATATTGCTGCAAAATATGTAAAAACTACGATCATCGAAGCGAAAATCTCTTATAAAATACACGTTGTACAATGCATTTTTCGACATTCTACAAACGTGTATCATTGTGCATATGTACACGAAACTCGTCTGTCGTGACCTATTTTTTCGACGGAAAATCGCCGAAAACAGAGAAATAAAAATAATACAATATGCACCATGGAAAAAGATAACAATAAAGAGAGATGCATTTGGTATTTGTTGTTGTGGCGCGGCTTACTTTTGTATGAAATGAAAGGGAGTCATTTCAACAATTGAAATGAAATGAATACCATGTTCAAGTCAAATTTCTACTGTATTCGTCAGTCTAAATTGGTGAACATTCCAAACCGACAAAAAAAAGTGAAACGAACATTTGAACAAGACGAGAAGTTCAAACCATTGATAAATGAAATTCCTTGACTTAACGCTGTACACAATTTGATATGATGCATTTAGTTGATTAATATGAAGAATGCTCATTTTGGTGAGTCAGTGTATGAACATCAATATTCACTCTTGCACATTGGTTTGCAGTCAGTGCTTCTTTCGTCTGTACCGGGCCACATGTTCACATCCATTTTTGCATAATATTCTCATAATATTTAACTTAAAATTGTGCATTGTACTTTCGGTCTTGCTATCGGTTATTTTAATATAGAAAAATTACATGCAACTAAAACTTTTTCATGATAATATTTCTCTTGTATACGAAGTTTTGTACCGTATTTATTTTGTGACGTGTACACTAGACACGTAGTATAGCAGAAATTAAGAAAAGATAGCAATATGCTTGTTTGGATATTATTTGTTGCTTTTGCAGCTGCATGATTTGCTGCTTAATAAATAGCAATATATATATAATAATAATACTTTTATACATGATACTTAAGCGCAACAATTTCGGCAGTTATTTTTAATTACGACGAAGAAATTGATAGAGAGATTTAAATAGAAAAAGAGAGCGGGACAACCAGTGTCTTCACCTCGACACTTGCCAAGCATTAAAAAATCTGATCGAAAATGCACGTTAGAATGAAGTCATCGAACAACGCCTGTTGTGAGTAATTTAACCAATGGTACCGATGAAGAAGGTGCATTTTTATCGAACGATAAATATCGCAGCACATCAAAAGCATACATAAACTTTAATGTATTCTCACCCCCCATCGAATCGAATACGGTTTGAGTCGAATTCATTCTCTTTAATTTGAAATTAATTGCTAATTGCGCTTGGTGAGTATGTGTGAGCGCGCGTATTCTAAAACGTAAAACAATGAAATCGATTCGATGAAGTAGGCGAAGCTCTGGTATCACACAAACTATTTCACAATGTATAGTATATTTTGTAAATATACATGGTGTGTTTGTTGATCGTTATCGTATTATAAAAGTATGGTGTTGTGTACGTTTCGATATATTGTAAATAACGAGATAAGTAAACGCCCGGGATAGATGTATGGGATATAATATTGAGTATTACGCAAATCTAAATCAGATCACTCTTTCCCAATACACAGAACCACGCGCACTCACACACTTGCAACACCCAGCCAGATTCACAAACACCATCACAATAATCCACAAATGCAAATGTTAACCACATTTTCCCATATTCGTAATTGTTTGAAATGTCATGGCATCAATCTCAGTTTGCCTCTCGAATAGAACCGCATGAAATGGCAAACAAACGAAACGAACCACATAATATGAAATTATATAAATACATAAACAACGACAGGAGAGCGAAGCAGATACAGAAACAGAAGAGAAAAAAAAACAAAACAAATGTGCAACATTAAATCAGTATAATGTATATGTACGCCAAAACGAAACCGAATCTAAAAACCAAAGAATTCCATGGAGCTAGCGCGCTACTTTTTTTTTATTCCGCGAACCGAATGCTACCAGGGATGCCGTGTGTGAATTTCACACAAATCACAGTTATAATAAACTTGAGGCAAATTTGAGAACTCTATTTTCGAAACACAGAGCTGTGCGTATGGGTCGCGATTATTCTACACACTCTAAACAGCCCACACACTCGATGTTGTTTACAATTTGAAATCTTATGAATCATTTTTAGTTTGCGGTTCTGTTTGTCGTCTCACGTTTTTTTTTCTCTCTTCGCATCTCATTTGAATCGTAAAATTGTGGTGCTGCAATTAAGCCATACATTTCACCGTTGACAAATTCATCACCATCAACACCAACAACATGTTATGTATAATGAATCTCTCTCCGTCAAGCATGATGACTGTATGTACGACTCAGTCAAATACAAAAATTTTTTTGAATGTGTCGACGACAACGATCATCGCGATAACAACGCGCTAACAATTTTAAATGAAGGGAAATGTTTGAAGTTCGTGTATCAATTACAAAACATTTTCCCGGTCTTTGATTTTTATTTCTTTCTCTTTCTCTCCCGGTTATCAAATAAAAACTCATGACACTCTCTCTTTCTCTCTCTCTCTCTCTCTCTCTCTCTCTCTCTATCTCTCTCTATCTCGAATATGTACTGGAAATATATGACGAAAAAAAAATTCTTTTGACTTTGTCGAACTCTTGCAGTCTCTTAATCTTTTACTCTTTCTTTCGCCCAACTGAAATGCGAATCGAAAAGGGAACAAGACAAGTAGAGAGAATCGAAGAATGAGAGACAGAAGCGTTTTTTTCCTTCTTCTTTTGTTTGAAAAGAGTGAGTTTGTGTCGCTGAAATGTGTGTGTTCACCAGCAATGGAACACTGCAAAATGGCACACACACAATATAGACTAAATGTAATACACTAACTGACAGCTATGCTATGGATACATATGACATAAAATACATTTTGCGTACATTGTATTGAATGCCATAAAGCTAGCATTCATTGCATGCATACTGAATTGAAAGATGGTGTACATAGACAAAATGCGCGTTATATATATAAAAATCTAACAATGGTTGGACTGTGCTAAGTGAACGCGTGCGATAACTTCATTAAAAAAAAAAATTGTTTACAACCAAAATGGGCAACAATGTAAAAAGATCGGTGCTACAGTACAAAAGAATCCAAACAAAATATGTTTAATTTGATTTTACGATGCTCACAAATACACCAGAGAAGTTTTCGATATCTGTATTCTCTTCCGTGCTCGTTCTCTCTTTCTCCCAATGAATGTGTCGCCCGAAATGCATGGCAAAGTATGAGACAAATGTGAGGGGGATCACTTTTGAGGATTCAGCAATATCAAACGAACATTTGGAGTGTGAATTTTGTTTCGTTTTTTTCGATCATAAAAAAAATTCTGTCTGGATTTCGAAACCATATTGAAAATGTGAAATAACCTCATATCATGAACACTGTTATTTATATCGCATTATCGATATCGGTCACCAGCAGAAATGTCAATTTGGAAAAACTGTGCTCTTAATGAAATACAAATTGACGATTTACCCGTATGAAACACAATTTGATTCATTGGATTCTTTCATTCTTTCTTTTTTTTCACTTCATAGTTGATATGAATGAAGATTGTGTGAAAGAGAGCTTGCTATAAAGCGAATGGAAAAGAACGTGAGAGCCAGTGTTCAATGAGTTGAGCATGTAAAGCGATAAAACGGTGACGGCGCGGTCGATAGACAAAATCATAAAAACATATAAACGAACTGAGAAATAAACCATACAGAACGACAAAACAATTTTTACTCATGGAATAAAAATAAATGGCACATAACACGTATAACATTATCGATTTATCCATCGTTTTTATTTGTTGGCGGGTTTTTTTTGTTGTTGTTTTGTTTTATCATGTTGTCAAGTTTTTTTCCCTTTTTTTTTCCTTATGAAATAACAAAATATGTTTGCCATTCGCTCCATTATTATTATTTTTTTTGTTATTATTTCCTATTCACATCATTAGCGTTTCCATACATTTTGTCTCATTCATATTAACAAAGTTATCATTACTGTCATTGTTCTAAGCATTGTACAAATGCTAGTTCATAACTCTTTTTTGTATGCACACGCTGTGTGTGTATGTGCCGTGCACACATATCGTTTCAGCCGCATCAGTTCCATTGAATGAATAAATTATTTAAATGAAACGAAGAAAAATTATCGAATGAAATTGTATTTTGCTTACCGTTTGTTAGTTAGCCGTGTGAGTATCAAAAATAGAGTTAAAACCTGGCCGGAGAACGATGTGGTGTTTTTGTTGTTGTTGTGGTTGTTGTTTGATGCGTTGTTGTCAGTAGCGTAGTTCCAAAATTACCGAGCGCCCACCAGAAGGATACACAGAATTTTGATTGTTTTTGTATATATATGTAGAATAGAGGAAGAGAAACGATGATTGAAAATTTGAATGACAGAAGAGTGGAAAATTGAACACACTAATTTGAAACTTCTAATACACACAATATCAATCAACAGTAGCGAAAAAATAAATAAATAAATCGAACTGAAATATGCAATATATACAGGACAAAAATGTAAAACGACAACAGGTAGAGGTGAAACGGAGTAGCACGGGTGCAAAAGAGATAAATAATCATATATAGAGAGGAAAATACACTGCAGAGACAAAACGAATATTTAATTCACTTTGAATATCGGTGTTTGGTATGTGTATGTATGTGTTTCAATTATTTTTCCGCGTAATTATACTCTTTATTTATTTTGTCTTCGTTATTATTTTGAAAATCGCCGCGGTACAATGCTATTGCTTTTATTTTCTTTTTTTTTCGGTATAAATAATTAATCAATCCACTTTTCTACAAAATGCACGTCGTATATATTTTTCTGTTCCCCGACTACAAAGCGAGAAATGTGTGTTTTTCGGAATGGTGAGTGTCGGTTGTCTTTTCTGTGCTCATGTATGCGTGTATGTGTATATTATGATATGGTGTGCCCTTACTTCAAAATAATTCTCGTGGTGGTCGGTTGGACGTCGTTTTTTTGTTTTATTCTCTCTTTCTGTATTTTCTTTTTTTATCGAATTCAGTTTTATATGCGATGGACAAAACGGCAACTCCACAACTATACTCTGGAAATTATTTCTAATCGAATCGCAGAACTTTCTACACATACAACACCGCGCGTCTAATATACTCTCGTTTTGTCTCACTCTGGGTGTCGTAGCGTACGTAACGAAACACGCACAAATAACAACAATCAATTTACAATGAAACAGTTCGTTTGCTACTCTTTTTTCTTTCGGTTTGGTTTTTATTTTAGCTCTTTCTATTTTTTTTATGCTTCCCCTTTCAGCCTCGTGCTTTTTTTTTAAATTTCAATACAACAACAACAAAAATTCAAACAAAAATCAAACGAACCAATGCAAAAATTAAAAATATAATATTGGAGTGGAAAAAAAACTCTTTGCAATTATACTATATCGATAATAAGAATAGTAGGGACAAAAAAAAAGTAGTCGTTGACTTTCGTACACATAAACTGCGTTTGGTACTTACTAGTATAAACACACAGAATTGAACAGCGCAGAAGTACTAACTAGTGTCGTAGAGTAACTTAGCATTTTTCAAACGCAATCAGTTTCAATGTGTTGAAATTTTGTCGTTGTTGTTGTTGTCGTCGTATCTCTCATGCATACACGGCTATCACATTCTATGTGCATGCAATGTGCGATAGAATGAGAACGCAATATAATTTACTGGTCTGTTTTGTGTTTGCCATGAGCTGCCGCTTGTAGCTGACTATCGGACCGATACATGTGATGAAGAAATGATGTGAACACCCGAATACGAAATTCACACGATGTTTGTGTGTGTGTAAGTGTGCAGTGAACACGCTCTCTGTCTCTGTATATGTTTCCCTCTCATACATATTACATTGTAAATGTTGATCGGTTTTGTTAAAATGGAATACATACGACGGGTTTGCTATTTGGAGTAGCGGTTCGGTGTAAGCGGCAAAGGTGAGCAAGACAACCATATACCATACACACATCGTGTCTACTCTATCTAACACGCTTGGCATTTATCGCCATTTTCATTTCCATTCGGTTTCTTAGTATTGCATGTCATGCATTATTTTATATTATATTTTTTTTCGGTCTAAAGTGGTAACACATTCGCATCTGACCATAATGTCAAAATACTATCGTACTTTGACAGCTGCAAAGAATTCAAACAATTTCGGGCTGAATAACGTAAATTTTATGAGGAAAGAATTCGTCAAACAATAATCAAAATGGAAAACACAAAAATTCAATTGAAAAATAGCGAACAAATTAAGGCGAAATTTGCCGAAATTACCACACCATTCATCAATCAAATGAGGTAAATGGTTAGAGTTTTTTACTTTAGTTTGTTTATGTAAAATTAATATTGTAATATTTTGTTGTTCAGCGACAAATTGGTGACCAGTTTGTATGATGTTTTGCAACCAACAGTCAAAACACATAAAATAAAAGCACCCATCATCAATAAATTCAAAGATGATATGATCAATAAATGGACTGAAAAGTTCGATACAATGTGGGAAACCAAACATTTAGACGAACGAATCACAGCATTGAATGAACTAAAGCAACAATACGAACTGAACACACCGAACAACAAAGCATGGTAAGTGTCATCATTCGAGAAAAGATCAATAACAAAAATACAGAAAAATCTCTACAATGGACTTTTTATTTTTCCGTTGTTCCCATCAGAGGGGTACACTGACTCAATTTTAGTAAAATTCCAATATTCTGATAATTCTAATTATCTCTTCTGCAAATTTCATCTAAATTTGATCAAGAGAAGAAATTGGTCAACATTGGGAGACACTTTGTTTTTATATACGCATTTTTGTCACTGTTCGTCAATGAGAAACCTCTTTGGAATGTGGAAAATTGAGAGTTTTCATTACAGAGTGATTTTTCTGTATTAATTTGTGAATATTTAGTTGCGAAAAAAGAAGAAAATGTAACAGAGCTAAAACACTTTTGAAAAATGTATTCATATTATTGCAGGCGTGCACATGGTCATACACCCGAACAACAGACACAGTTTATCCGAAATCGGCAAATGTCCACATTCATATGTTACATGCAAGATTTACTTGAAAAACAATCAAAAGAATTACAGGTAAACACAATTTATTTCTTTTTCATCGTTAAAAATTGATTTAAAAAGATGTTTAATGATTTGTTTCTTCTCCTTTGGATCCGTTTAGGAATTGATTTTGAAAGTAGACGAGCGTCGGAATTTCTTTAATGAAGTGTCCAAGCGGCGTTCGAAAACAATCGAAGAAATTGATTCAAAACTTGTTGAATTACAAAATGCCTATACGACGGCTGGCGAATAGAATATAAAATCAAACCTGTAAAAAGCTTCACATCATATCATCCGTACGATACTCAACATCATCTAAATCATATAAAATTGTAAATTAAGAAGAAATGTATTCAACAGATCATTGTCGGATGCAATTTAATATTTGGTTTATTTCATAAAGAATTTTATATCGTTATAATCAATCGGCTTTTGTGTATTCGTTTTAAATTTTTTTTGATAAAGTTAAAGATTGAATTAGAATGAAATGATACAATTCGAATGAATAGAGTGTTTTTTTTTTGTTTCTTCAAGTTATGGGAAATAGCTTGGCAAAAAAAAGCACAAAACGATTGAGTTGAATCCATAGATTCATGTGTATGAAACAATTGGTTTTGTCTCCTTTCTTTCGTTTAAATTAATTATTATCATTAATAAATAGATGTATGTGACATGATTTGTTCTTTTTTTGTATATTTTTGTTTTATTGCAAATCCGGCATAATTCAATATTCATTTATTAGGTGAATTAAGCATTTCAGATTCGTTTGTCATATTCCGTTCGTACAATGGATTCGTTTTTTTTTTTTGGAATGATGAAAGAGAGATGACAAAACGAACTTCATTTCTTAAAATCTATCAAAACTGCAATGTTATTTGGGTGAATAGAGTTATTGCTTGTGTATGGGGCGACTTTCTATCACTTAATAAAGAATTTGAAGCATATTTGTTAACGTAACGGTTAATTTACTGAAATAATTATCAACTTCAAGAAATTCAATACGACAATGACAACTTTATGATTTCCATCACGTTGTTTTCGAACGTTTTTTGTGTCTACTGAAGCGATTTTTCGCAATAAAGTGTCAAAGTCTTCAGATTTTATGGAAAATAGTACAAAATATATTTTTTGTAAGTCAATTGTACTTCGTATCGAACTTTTTTTTTGGTCAAATTATTTTTAGCATAACATTTTATTTTCAGTTGTCATTTCAAAAAAGTTTTTTTTATATTTACAATGCATTGATTTTGCAACATTTGGAATTCCATCATTTTGAATTTTATTGCAAATGATTAGAATGGATTCGGATGTGAATCGAATTACGAAATGGAATGAGTTACAATGTTATGTCTGAGTTGTTTTCTACAAGATATATATATGTATAGGTATGCATTGGTATATTTAATTATAGTGGAATGTATTCAATTGAATGTTATTAGATCCTGATTATATCGTTTGAATTGATTATGTCAATTGTTTTAGTATGAAAAGAATGTATTGGGTGAGAAGCCATATTGACTCGGCCAAAAATGACTTCTGTTGCATAGAATCTTACCACCTACAATTGTTCACGGAATAGGTGAGACCTGAAGGGCAAAGTTTCATTTTCATTCTCAGGCAATGTATTTCAATCGAAAACTGTCGATTTAATTTACGTCTCACCCATACAAATACATCTCTCATGTGAATCGAAAAAGAATATCATCAGTTTTGTACTAGATGTCTGTGATAAATATATTTTGTTGTAAATATGATGTCAATGTTAAGCTATTGTGCTCTTTGATTAACTATTTTTTTTTCTCTCTCTTTAAATTTGTATTTTTTTGGTGTGATTGTGAATAAACTATGAATTATTTTCGTGACTAACCTATGTATGCGTGTTATTCTTAAGCAAATAGATTCGATGCATAGATCTATTCGAACTACTTTTATTCAATTGTTTTGATGCACAAACTGACGGCCTATTCACTGCATATCTCGTTCATTCCAAACATTTCCTTTTCGAATTTTTTATGATTTTGTTTTGTTTCCAATTAATATTATTCAGCTACACTCTTCATATATATCATCAATTAACGTTAAGTAAAGCGATTTAAATACGTACAAATCAAATGAATTATTCGACAGGTTATTAATGAAAAGAAAAACTTGTAAAGAAAAAAAAATAATAAACAAATTTAACTATATACTATACAAAATAAACGCAAATGAAAAAAAAAAAAACAAATAATTTTAATCTCGAGCGAGAGAGTCGGTGCTCAGTTGCGTTTCGATGAATTGATTAGGTATTTACAACAATGTGTTAACAAGTGCTTTTCACTAGATGAATGATTATTGTGATGAGAATGACTGCCAACCTCGCGGGTATAGATATCCAATCCGTATTGTCCTTCTTCGGGAAAACTGTGTGAAATGAATGAGAAAAAAAAACCATGATGAGATTATTAAATTGGTTGGAATGTAAATTCGAGCCAAGAAAAACTTACTTGATGCTAAATGTAACAATGTCGTCGAGTACATTGTGTGTTACATATTTTGAGAGTTTTTTCTCTTCGATTCCATTTTTATGCAATGTTGCCATGAAATCGGTTAACGGACGTGACATTCGGAATTGAAGTTCGATAATGCGACCGGCAAATATCAATGGGCCCTAAAAATATCGAGATTTTTTGTTCCAATTGATTAGTGTGTTCTGATGTCTGCCAAAAACAAAAAAAAATTGGTGGACATTTACTTGATGTGTAATTGGAATGAGTCCAAAGAGTCGGGTTGCTTTTGTCGGTCCCCATTCACCACTAGCACAGTCTGGCAATGGTACCATAACAGTTTGTAATTCATCGCAGCAAATCTAATAATTAAAGAAAAGAATGTATATACATCATTGAATTGCAATTGACCATTTAAAGAGAATTTCTTCTCTTTTTTATTTCGCTGGCCATTGGTCTTACCTTGAATTTACAAACCGATTTAAATTTCATTGGTTCACCGGTTAGATATTCTTGTGGTGTGACTGCATTTGCAAAAATGTCAAGCAAAAATGAACCAGAGCATGGTGCGTGCACACGGAACGTAACAATGTTCCCAATGACCGATTGCATGACAAAACGCTTGAGCGAAACGGCATCGTATGAATCTTCATCACTGTCATAAAATTTCAAATTGTAATGGAATATCAGACAGCCTTGCATATCACTTGGCATTGCAATTTGTACTGTTGCCGCTCCCGTATCATCCGTATAAACAACTGAGCCATAGCCTTCATCAGCAAAATGCAAACCATAGCGAAAGAATAACGATCGAACAAATGGTAAATTTTCAAATTCGGTCAATGTGATTGGACGTTTCAATAGTTGCCATTCCTTTTGTAATGGATAGAATTCGTAAATGAATTCACGTGGATCGGTTAAGAAATAATGATCATCGTATTCATAGCGTAAACTATCATTTTTACCGCGACCCGATTTTGGTGCTTCTTTTGCATTGACTAAATGACGTGCACCCCAATTGCATTGGACAAAACGCCATGCGCCCGCCACATAAACCGCATTCCATGAATTTCGAAAACGTGAATCATGGAATTTAATGCCCGGTTGATAGCCAGCACTCTTTGAATATCCTTTGATTACCACACAATGTAAACCGGCATAACTGCAATTGGACGAAACGAATTTAATTTAATTTTTAAATTTATTTCGATTTTGAATGTAAACGTTACCTGCACAATCGTTTGAATAGAACGTGGTAACTTTCTGTGCCAAATTTGATGCCACGCAAAAGACCCATTGGTGTATCGCCTCTTAAATCATCGTCAAAGTGCATTGTGTTCAAATTTTTCACCGTGATCCAACGGAAAATGGTTCGTGCCTTTTCAATATCGGATGTGCATCGTCCGACCAATTGTCGCACCAAATCGGTGAATGTTTTTTGATCTTCTTGTGCCACCTGAAGTGTAAAATATTGAATTCAGAAAAAGTTTGTGCAGTTTTGTTTTTGCTGTCATTTTTATGGTTAGAAAATTGCGTTTCTTCTTCTTTTTTGCTCTACCGATAATAATAATAATATGTTACTCACCGATATCGCAATCCGATCAACTTCTTCAAATTCAATGGGATCGGTATAGATTTGGAATTTACTGACAGCTGGTGGTTGTGGTTGTGGCGCCACACTTGGATAGCTCATTAACGGTTGAGTAGTTTCGTTAAATTCATCATCCAAGAATATGCTTTCATTTTGCATGAATTCACTGCGCCGTGCACTAATCAATTCCAACATTTCGCTCGATTGTCGATCGACCAGTGCGGCCGTTTCCGATCGTTCGTGTTCGAGCATTTTACGTGTAAGACTTTCTTTCTTTTTCGTTTTACGCAATGTCATATTCTTTTCCAAGTCTTCTTTTTGTTGTTCGTGTCGCAGCGTTAAAATGTTTTGATCTTCACGATTTCGACGTGATGTGGCCAATTCTTTTTCAAATTTATGAGTCAATCGTTCCAATTCACGTTCCCATTCATCTTGCATTTCACTGGTTATCTTTCGTTCTTCATCTTCTCTTTTGCGTGCAAATTTTCTGTATAAATCATCTTCCTCTTTTCGATGCTTCATCTCCAAACGAGCCTGTTCCTCGCGATCCTATACACATTATTCGAAACAAAGTAAAAAAATAAATACATCATTAGAATTATTTACTAAAAAGCGAACAATGAAAAAAAGTTAGCATATTTTCTCTACGGATCCATTTGATTTACACGAATCGATTGGGTGTGGCGAAAATAAGAGCACAGCATGAAATTCTCTCCACACTTAACGCACAGCATAAATATTTAATTTCGAATATAGCATATTCTATAAATTTTCAATCGAATTGCATTGCGTACTCTTCTACGTTTTTTTTAGTTTGGTTGTTCGTTCGCTCGTTCATTTATTCACGCTCATATGCTCAAACTAATTAAATGATGAAAGAAATACTATGATGCGTGCACTTATGGATATGTGCATTTAATTATAGATATTAAAACACCGCTGCGTGCATTCACCACCACGACGATGCAAAGAAATCGGAATTGTGCACGTTTCCTTTGTTCAATTTTTTGTATGCACGCACACACAAAAGAACGTAACACTATATTTTCTTATAAATATTATTTCTCCTGTTGCCCCTTGCATTTTTTTGTACATTTTCTGATTTTCTTTCTACATCTCTCTCTCTCTCTCTCTCTCTCTCTCTATCTCTCGCTTGCTCGTTGTCTTCCTATTTTGCTCAAATCCAAAAATCAACTATCAATTAGGTGATAGTGACAAGATACCAACGTTGTTCACACAATACACATGTTTTTCAGGCATTGCACTCTTTCATGTTCTATTAAATTGTCTTTGTCATGAAATCATTGCTTAAATCAACTTGTTAATCTTTAATTTAACCGAGGCCTGTCTTTCTTTTAATTAGACGGAGATTCATTGTTTGTTTTTCTCTTCATTTATATTTCATATTTATGTCGAGAGAAAGAGAGAGAGAGAGTAAAAGTTTTCATTTGAATATATTTTTCTTAATTATCATGCTCAAGCTTCAAATATCAATGCATTCTGTTTTACATTCTTTTTTTTCTCTGTCAATTAATCAAAAATAAAAAGTTTTTTTCTTTTAAATTTTGAATTTCTAACAAAAAAAAACAAATAATTCGATGAGCAAAATAAATAATGTTCAAAAAGATTTCGTCAATTTCACCATTTCGATGGGTGAAAGAATCTAATGAGTGTGTCGACGACAAATCTCTCGTTAGTGCCATTATAGATTTTGTTTCCAGTTAAAAATCTCTCATCAAAATCAAGTAACGATAATTTGTTTCGACTTAATGATCGGCCGGTACCCTCAAAGTCATCACCAAACAAAAAAATGGAATATACAGATAGGTTCGTGATCGAAAAATGTGGGTTAAACCAATTTTCCATGTGTGAGACAATGAGTAAAATCCAAAAATTGTTCGTTGACTTTTCCACGCTATGAACAAGCATCATACCCAAAATTTAGAAAAAAAATGTGTTTGTAAAGTTGTTTAGCTGTTTATATTTAAGTGACGGTGAACACAATTACTTGGTGTAATATGAACTCGTGTTGCAATCATTAGATGCTTTCAATCTACGATCGTTTTGCGAAAAATCAAATGGTTTGTTTCTTTTTTTCTCAGATGCATGCGAACAATATCTAAACAACGAAAGATGAACGATACAAATTCATCGCCTCTTTTATTTCCAACACATTTGCTAATTTGAATACATACAGCGGAAGTGCCAACCATTTAAAATCGTTCATTGCGATCAACACTGGCGACGTTGAAAATTGTGTGTGAGTGCACGCGTACACGCCACATAAAATTAGCACAATTTTAAGATGATTCGCATTCTTCTCTTCTATTTTACTCTTTCTCTAATTCGCAGTAGGTTAATAAGAACATTATTCATCATTTTATTGATGTGCGCAAAGCGGCAACCGCACAAATGTAAACAATCAAAAATCATCAGCGCATCAGTTGAAGACAATGTGATTCCCAGTTGATGTGTAACACAGACACACAGCGTGTGTTTCAGTGGGCTTTTCGGCATTGTCTTTCTCGCGCTTTTGCCATTCTCGGAGAATTTTTTAGTTTTTTTTTTTTTCAAACCTTCGCTTGCGCGCAAAAACACACACATTCCATTGAATTGTGTGTGCGAAATGTTGGCGCAATGCTTTTCATGAATAGTTCAATCTGACTCATCTGACGTGTATCATCTTTTTTTTGCAGACGAAAAACGTGTTTGCCGTCACGATAAAATTGATTGTTACTGAAAAATAAATAATTTAGGTTGATATCAACGTTTTTCTGGCGCGTATTCAATGCTTCAGGCAAAATAACAGAAAAATATTTATATTCCGATTCAAAGAAGAACCTTTTTTATGATGCTTCTGTTGATTCGGGCTGAAATTTCAATTAAAAGCATTCATCTCTTTTCGACCTGACGATGGTGTCACAAATATATGTTTTGTTTGGATGTGTGCGTCTCTATTGTAAAAGTCTCTCACACTTTTGGGTCGTCGCCATGGCGAGAAAAGAAACATCAAAAATAGACAAACAAAATTTAATTAAGACACACAATCAATTCGCGTAATAAACACGTACCATCTGCAGTATGTTGTCTCTTGGAGTGTGCAAAAAAAAAATCAGAGCATTTGTGATTTGGAAAATTGAAAATAATCAAATGGGAGTAATAATGGCATGGTGAAGGAAGCTACTGCACGTGATGCCGCTAAGAGATATATTGCTGCTGTTTTTTTTCTTTTCTCTCTCTCTCTCTCTCACACACTTTTTGAACAGGAAAATAGTAATTTGGTTGTGCTTTTTTAAATTAAACTCTTTAAAATACAATGAAATGTGTTCGGTTTCGAAGAACTAATTTTTTGTGCCATCGTCTTCTCTCTCTCTCAATCCTCCACCAATGAAAACAAAAAGCAATTCCATTCATCGAAATCGAGCAAATCTTTGATTTGATTTTGATGCGCGCAAAATTCGCCAAACAATAAGATTTGTATGTATAATTTTTGTTTTCAGGGATTTCTTTTCATTCACAATGATGAACGGTCATTTTTGGTTCGTGTCGAAAATATATCTGATTTGAACATTTACATAGAAACTCGTGTACTTATACACCATATTTAGTCAGCATGCAAATGACTTTCATTTTCTTTCATAGACTTTCTTCTATTTTTTTTTTCTTCTTTTAGTTTAAGAAAATTAGTTGATCGTATTCATTCTATTTTTGTATGCCTTCAATGAAAAGTTGCATCGCATTTCTCAAATATTGATGAAATTCATTTTCTCCTGCCATATAATATACCATTTTCGATGGCGAAAAGAACAAAATGTCAAAAGAAAACAATATTCAAAAAGACCGTCAATGTGAATGTATCATTTTCCAACTGTAAATTGTCCAATTGAAAATTGAAGAAATGAAAAAGTTGTGATTGCCAATTTTATGCTCGTTTAAATAATGGTTTCTCAACGAAAATTGCCACATTTAAATCTGATACTTTATCTTCATGGAATGACTAACACACATATGATCAATGTTTGGTCTAGTTTCACAGCTGTTCACAGCCAACACAGGTGAATTGTATTTTTCCTATTCGCCAGATCTTTATCGATGAATTTTGGTGGTAGCTGATGGTGTGCGTGCCAAGAATTATATCTTCATTTACCTTCACAATCGACGAATTTACCTCTTAATTTTTATTATCTGAAACGCTTTTTTGGTCAGTTATTTGATATAAATCATCTCTTTGTATTCTCTCGCCACCTTTTTCTTCTTCTATATCGTGTAAAATCACCATCACAATTTACGTGTAGTAGCAGTGAATGAATCAATTCACCAAATGGAGGAATGAATGGTGATTTGTGTTTGGTGGTAAAACACGCTTGCGTGTGGGTCTGCATTCCAAAAATAAGCGAAGCCAAAAGTTTCATGATCATGAAAAAGGTCAGTTTTCGATTGAAAAGAGTGTAAGAGAGCTAAATTGTATGAACACTTCCCCCCAGTTGTTTGACTCGATTTTCTACACACACACACAAATTTGCTACGAAAATTATTGGCTATATGGCGGTAATAATTGGTCTTTTGTTGATTTTGATGGATGTTTGGCATTATTAAGAAATTTTCAATAGGCTCATCTTGAACCTAAGCCATAATTCGTCGAACAGATGTATTACATCAATTTCAATTGTTGGTGCTTAATCATGGGGCTTTTATGATTTCAAGAATGACCGAAAAAAAAATTGATCGGAAATAACGGAACTATAGTATGTGCAGGCATTTTTCACATATGGTGCAGGCATGTGTGAATGAGATGTTACTTTTCGTGTCGTTTATATGAGGTGAATAGTCATTTTGTAATGTGCCGTTTATTCTTTCTTCTCTTTCATTTATTTTCTATTCGATATCAATGTGCTGCTATTTTGTTGTTCAATGCATATAAATTGTTAATTGATTTTTTTTGTTGTTATTCGATTGCTTTTCGAATAAAATCGAAACAATTTTTCATTTGCATTTAAAAGCCCACTTAAAATCAATTTTAGAAATATAAACTTTTGACGAGCGTATTGTGTAATTAAAGTTAAAGTATGTGAACGGCCTTGCCAATCATGTGGCTCTTTGCAACAAAAGCAAATATCGCATCGAATTGCTCGCGCGCGCGCATTACACCACCAGACTGTCGATCCAAATTTGAAAAGGCGATTCGACGAAAAATCGAGATTTAATCATAAACAGATTGCAATTTAAAATGCGAGATGCAAAGGTGCGCCACATTTACCGCGCCACTCATTGTGTGTGTTCATTTTTTTACGGCATTCGTATAACAATAAAAAAAAACTTTAACAAACAGCATACATATCGCCAAATGGTAACGACTACACAAGTTGTGCGGCACCCACAATCAATTAAATATAATCAACTGTGCAAAAGAGAGTCTTTTTCGCGCTCTGTCGCTCAATTATTTTGGCAAGCATCATATAATTCGCTAATATGATTGTGTTGCGTAGCTGCCGAAACTGTTGCGAACTGTCGTTGCTGCCAAAAATCATTTAACGCGCAAGACAACCAGA